AGTACAAGATCCTGGTGCCCGCCATGGGCTGGGCCCCGGCCGAGCTCGTCATGTCCAGGTGGCCGCGGGGTGGGAGAGGGGCGCCCGTGGGGGGGCTGCGGGTCGGGAGCGAGGGGACCCTGGGCTGTGTCCCCCCCAGCTCTTCCCCAGGACTAGCTGCATTTCCCCCCCAGGTGCATCCCGCTCTGGGTGGGCGCCCGCGGCATCGAATTTGACTGGAAGTACGTCCAGATGAGCATCGACTCCAACATCAGCCTGGTGCGGGGCTGCGAGCTTCCCTGGGACAGTGCGCTGATGGCGGGATGCGGTCAAGGGGTGGGGGGTGGCATGAGCTTCCCTGGCACAGTGGCTTGATAAGGAATGGTGCCCTGGTGGTGGAAGTGGCTGCAAGCTTCCCCAGGGCAGTGCCCTGCAGGGGGACCTGGGGGTGCTGTGAGCTGTCTCGGGGCAGTGCCGTGACCCCTAACCCCCACCCCCAGGTGCACTACGTGGCAGTGGCGGCGCTGGTCTGGATGTTCTCACGCTACGACCTCCCAGCACGGCTGCGCCTGCCCCTGGCTGCACTGCTGGGCCTCAGCCTCTACAAGGCCTTCCTGCTGGAGTGAGTGGGTGGGGCCATAGCAGGGGGCGGGGCCTCTGAGCCTGTGGGGGGTGAGCCTGGCAGGTGGGGGTGGGGCTGGTCAGGGGTGGGGCCCAGGGGGAGGGGCCCCAGGGCTGGGGCCGGTTCCTGTGGGGCTCTGGGGGTGAGGCCTGGGTGCATTAACCCCTGGCTGCCTGCAGGGTGGCAGTGCACGTGCTGGCGCTAGGCCCGTGGGCGGCGCTGGGGGCCAAGGCAGGGCTCAGCGCCCTGCTTGGCCTCGGTGCCCTCGGCCTCTTCGTTGCCCTCGGCCACGGGCCCTGACCCCCGACCTCTGACCCCAGACGGATGCATGGATGCACCAATAAACCCCTTGCCCGTGGCCTGCCTGCTGTCTGTTCTGTGCTGGGGGTGGGGCCCCAGACACCTGGGCCCTGTGCGGAAGGGCTGTGTGGGGCCTGGATGCCTGGTTACCTCATGGGGAGGGGGTGGGAGTTTGTGTGCCGGACACTTGGGGTCTGGGAGAGGGAGGGGGGTGTCCCAGATGCCTGGGTCCCTGGAGGGTGGGTGTCCAGAATGCCTGGGTCCTGGGGGTGCAGGGTGTCCTGGGTGCCTGGGTCATTGGGGGGGGGCGGGAGGAAGGAGATGTGCCCCAGACGCCTGGGTCTCGTGCCCGGGTTGTGTCCAGCTTGTTCCCTGCTCTTCCACCCTCCTCATAGGATGCCAAACACAGGGTGAATGAGCCCCACAATTTATTTGCCCTCTGTACATGCCCCAAGGGGGTGGGGGGTCAGAGGCACATAACCCCCCCCCCTGCAACCCACCCCCAAAGTCCCCTGTCCCAGGCAGGGAGAGAACCAAGGAGTCTGGGCTCCCAGCTCCCCCTTCCAGTCCTGGAGCTGGAGAGAAGAACCCAGACATCCAGGCTTCCCGCCAGCAGCTTCTCGGTCAGTAGTATAGCTCCTTGTCCCACCAGCCTGCAGGGGGAGAAAGGGCAGTGTCTGCAGTAACAGATGAGATGCAACCAGCTCTGGGGTGGAGCAAGCGGGGATGGCCACATATGACACCACTATCAGTGCTGCCAAGATGCAACCAACTCTGGTGCGCAGCAAAGGGGGAAAGTATAACATCACTGTTGGTGCAGGCCTGGTGCTGAGATGCGACTAGTTCTGGGATGGAACAAGGCGGGGAATGGTCAAGTATAACACTGCTGTCAGTGCTGGTCTGGTGCTGAGATGTGGTTGGCTCGGGGGTGGAAAATGGCTGCATGGAGATACAGCCAGCTCGGGGGGTGCAGGGGCCACATGTAACAGGGGTGGGGAGGGCAGGACTCACTTCCTGGGTGCCGGCGGACGCCCAGCTTGCGGATCTCGTCGTAGACAAAGATGAGGAGGCCGTAGGGCATCGGCACCAACCACCACTGAAAGCTGCGGAGAGATGGTAAGTCCTTGGGGGGCAAGAACCCAGGTGTCCGAGTGCCCAGAACCCCTTGTTCTCCCGCCGCCCCGAGAACCCAAGCATCCAGGCTCACCGGATGGGCATGAAGTTGAAGATGTTTGGCATCCCGGGGCAGTAGCAGAGGAAGTTCCCCAGGCACACTTGGAAGACAATGGCGATGACAAGGACCCGGTTCCTGGGGGTGGGAAGGAGGGCAGTGAGCTTGAGAGATGGACCCCCTCTGCCTCCCAACTCCCAGTCCCCTCTGGGGGGAGGGAAATTGTCCCCCCCCAACATATAGCTCGGAGTTACAGGAGTTTCATTCGGGCTTAAATGCAGCCAGCTCTGGGGTGGGGCAGCTGGGAACAGCTGCATATAACAGGTCTATGGTCAGGTGTTTATATGTAGCCAGCTCTGGCCTGGGCATGGCTGCATATAACACAGGTCTTGGTGTCTATATGTGGCCAGCTCTGTGGTGCATGCAGCTACATATAACATAGGTCTTTGGTATCTAAATGCAGCCAACTTTGGTGCATATAACACAGGTCTTGGTGTCTAAATGCAGCCAGCTCATGGGTGCGCATGGTTGCATATAACATCTTTGGTATCTAAATGCAACCAGCTTTGGTGCATAACACAGGTCTTGGTGGGCACAGCTGCACATAACAAGTTTTAGTGCCCAAATGCAGCCAGCTCTCGGGGGAGGGGGGGTGGAATGACTGCTGATAATGCAGGTCTTCAGAGCCCAGATGCAGCCTGCTCTGGGGCAGGTGCGGGCAGGAGTAACGCACCGGAAAAAGCCCTGCTGGAAGACAGAGAGTCGCCGAGTCTTGCGGATGAGCACGTCTGCAATCTGGCACATCTCAATACTGATGAAGAAGCAGGTGTAGCACACATACTGCTGGTACAGCCGCTGCCCGAAGGTCTGGGGGCCAGAGATGCAGGTCAGTGCCTGCTCTGGGCCCTGATCCTCCCCTCCAGGACCCCTTTGAGGGCAGGATGTGCTCAGTTCTGGGGTGGAGCAGCTAGGTAAGAGCCACATGTAACACAGGGCAGAGAGGGGCTTTTCTGGCCCCCTGATGCAGCCAGCTCTAGGGCATAGCAGCTGAGTATAACGGTAGCCGGGCTGTAACCAGCACTGGGGTGGAATGGCTGGAGAGCAGCATATAGAGGGGCTTTGCCAGTGTGTGCATGTGCCCAGCCCGGGGGTGGAGCAGCCGCAGGTAGTGCCATATGGAGAGCAGTTTCTGGCTCCGGGGACTCACCCACTCTTGCCCGTAGCTGTCCTGCAGGTCCTGGAGGTGGTGGTTCTCCCAGTGTGGGCGCAGGCCGAGGCAGAGCAGGGGCCACCAGCCTTCCTGTGCCATGGCCGTGAAGTAGTCGGCGAAGCCGGCAAAGGACTGGATGACACCTGGAAGGGGGCAGAGTCAGGGAGGAGTGGGGCTTCCTCCACCCTGCTTCTGGCCCTGCCTCCCAGCAGTGTCAGGTCTGGGCAGGGAATCCCAGGTGTCTGCCCCCCCCAAAAAGGGGGACCCAGGTGTCCAGGTTCCCAGCATCCTTGTTGTCACCCCCCAGCCCCCACTTCAGTCCCAGAGAACTCAGGTGTCCGGGCTCCCAGTGACCCCCCCCCCCTCCCCGCTCTGACTCACCAGGCCCTACTCCTCTTGCAGAGAACCCAGGGGTCCAGGCTCCCCCTCTCCCCAGCCCTAAGAGACCCAGGAGTCCTGCCCTCCAGCCCAGAGGAGACCCAGGTGTCCAGGCTCCCATTTCCCCAGGCATCCTTCCCGCCCCCCTAGGAGGGGACCCAGGTGTCCGGCGCACCGATCTGGAAGTAGGAATAGGCAGCCAGTGGCTCATTGACCAGCCGGTCTCGGCGTGGGTTGCGCGGCTTCAGGTGCATGATGTCGCTCTCAGCTGCCTCGTAGGCCAGTGACACTGATGGGAACTAGGAGGGTGGAGGGCGGGGTGGTCAGGCCAGGGACCCAGGCCTCCAGGCACAACTCTCCCCAGCCCGGCGCTCGGGGGACTTGAGGGAGAGCAGATGGCCAGGTCCAGGGAGAGGGACCCAGGTGTCTGGGAATGGGGGGGGACCGACACTGCTGTTGTCAGTGCTGAGCTCAATGAATGATCACAGGTAAGCAAGGTGGAGTGGGTAGCTGGGGGTGTCTGGTGAGGGGACCCAGGCCTCCAGGGCTGGGAGAGGAACCCAGGCGTCTGGGGAGGGTGGCATTCCCAATGTCACAGCAGAGCTCAACGAAGAATCGCAGGTGCTGGCACGGGGCCCCGGGGCTGCCTGCCTAGGGACCCAGGTGTCTTGGAAAGGAAACCGGGAGGGGACCCAGGTATCCAGGACAGGTGGCACTCCTCATGCCAGGGCAGAGCTCAGTGAAGAATCCGAAATGAGGGCGGGGGGGCCCGGGGGGGCCTGCCTAGGGCCCCAGGGCCTCTGGGGCAGAGGAGGACCCAGGTGTCCGATGCACTCACGATGTCGGTGCACAGCTCGATGAAGAGGATAGTGATGCAACCCAGGGGCAGGGGCACAGAGGCCGTGATGTAGATGAGGTACGGTGCCAGCTCGGGGATGTTCTTGGTCAGGGTGTAGGCGATTGACTTCTTCAGATTGTCGAAGATCAGTCGGCCTGGGCACGAGGGGGTTAATGCGGTGAGGGCGGGGCCTGGAGGGGCGGAGCTGAGAGCCAAGGCCTGCCCCTTTCCCTGGTTCTTAGGGGGGAGAAGGGGACAGCAGCACTACAAGGGTACAATGTAGCTAAAAGAGTGAGTGGGTGCGGCTGCAAAGCCACACCCCCAGAGCGAGTTGCATGTTGTGGGCGTGGCTTCCCATGTGTGGGTGTGGCCAAGGTTGTGTCATTGGCTTAGGCGGTGGGGGTGTGGCTAGTGAAGGGGCGTGGCCTTGAATTGCCCCGAGCTAGTCCATGGGGAAGCAGATGAGGGCGTGGCTTAGGCGTGGGCGGAGCCTAAAGGGGTTAGGGTGGATTCTCAACCTCCCACAAGTGGTTAAGGGGCGTGGCTTCCTCCAAGGGGGAGAGGCCTAACTGAGGGCAGAGGCTAAAGGGGCAGGGGGTTTCTGCCAGCTGGTTATAGGGGCAGACTTCCCCAAAGGCGTGGCCTCAGCATGGGTGGAGCCTAAAGGGGCCAGGGCCGTTTCTCCACCCCCAGCTAGTTTCATAGATTTCATAGACATCAGGGCTGGAAGGGACCTCGGAAGGTCATCGAGTCCAGCCCCCCGCCCAAAGGGCAGGAAGTCAGCTGGGGTCATAGGATCCCAGCAAGATAAGCATATAAGATAGTTATAGAGGGGTCCTCCTCCAAGGGGGCGTGGCCTGTGGGTGGAGCCTAAAGGGGGGCGGTTCTCATCCCTCCCCAGAGTTGGTTGCATTGGGGAAGCACCAATGGGCCCCTAGCCTCAGGGGGCGTGGCCTCTGTGGGTGGAGCCACAAGGGTGGTGGTGGGGGGTGCTTCTAGCCCTCCCCAGCCCTGGGCGCATTCAATTAGGTCTCAGTGGTCCCACCCGAGAGCTGGGTGCATTTTGCAGGGGGCGGGGCCCGGGCACCTTGTTCAACACCAGTAACGATGGAGGCAAAGTTGTCGTCCAGCAGGATCATGTCGGCCGCGTTCTTGGCGGCGTCAGAGCCCGCGATGCCCATGGCTACGCCGATGTCAGCTTTCTTCAGTGCTGGCGAGTCGTTCACGCCATCCCCGGTCACCGCCACGATCGCCCCCTGCGGGGGGAGGACACAGGGCTTCAGTAGTGCCACTCCAGAGCTGGGCGCATCACCCTAGTTGAGTCCTTCCTTTGGGCTGTTCTATTCAGCCGGGCCTCAATAGTTCCACCCCGGACCTGGGCACAGTGTGGCACCAGGTGAAACCTTCCCCTGGGGCGTTCTACTCAGCTGTTCCCTGTATGCCGTACACCCCAGAGCTGGC